CTCCATTTGCTGAAACACTTTCAACTGCACCTGCAGGAACCTCAGGGCCACTAGATATTTCATCAGGTCTCTCAACAGCAATCTCTGGGACACCATCTCCTGAAACCGCTTCAAGTGCACATTTAGGAGCCACAGGGCCACTGGATTCTTCATTAAGTATCTCAACAGCAACCACTAGGATACCATCTCCTGAAACTACGTCTAATGCAACTCTAACAGTCTCAAGTTCACTGGCTGCTTCATCAACTCTCCCCAGAGCAACTACTCGGACACCATTTCCTAAAGAAAATTCAACTGCTCCTACAGGAACCTCAGAGCCACTACATGTCTCATCAAGTCTCCCAACAGCAACCTCTGGGACACCATCTCCTGAAAAGAGTTCCAGTGTTCCTCCAGAAACTTCACGATCACTGCATGTCTCATCAGGTCTCCTAATGATAACCCCTGGGACGCCATCTCCTAAAACCAGTTCTAGTGCACCTCCAGGTACCTCAGGGGCACATGGTTATGTGATCAAAATTTTGGTCTTTGTCAACTGTTAATTCTGATCCCAGTCATGGTCATATATCAATGATTATCTCTACTTTAAGTTCTGGAATCTCTACATAGCATTATTTTTAAATTGTTCCTAGTGGGCTCTTTCCTAGTCTCATGGAGTCATCCAAGTATTCCTGTACCAAAAGAATTATAATGAGGACAGGTTTTTCATCTTCTCAGCAATGGTCAGATGAATCTACATCACATTCTAAACCAGGGGTAGGCAACCTTGGCTCTTTTATGACTTGTGGACTTCAACTCCCAGAATTCATGAGGCAGCATGGCCCAGCTTGGAAACCTCTCCCTTTCCCCTCAGCATGACTGGCTCAGGAATTCTGGGAATTGACACCCACGAGTCATAAAAGAGCCAAGGTTGCCTACCCCTGTTCTAAACCATTAGCATCATGTTCATAACATGCTGTGCATGAACTGAAGAATATACAAAATATTTTTTTTATCTTTCTTGATTTGTAGCTTGCATTTATCATTTTCTTCATTTTCCACTCTGTATAACCCTCAGCTTTCCTAGATGATTGTCATTGTTGTGACAAAAAGCAAAAAAAATGAGAAAAGAATTAAAGGTAACAATAACTGCACAGAATTAAAAAAGAAAACCACAAAATAAAAAATCAAAATAGCATTTTTGAAGTTATATATGTGCGCTGTTGAGGAGAGACAAACTAAAGATTGTCAACACCCATGTGCAATATTTTTGTCCAGAATAAAATTTGTACAAATGAAAGTGATCGCTTATAAAACTAATTAATATAAGTAATAACATTAGTGACAGATTTTATTACATTTGCTCTTTGTAGAATTTTCATTTTTTTAAATCCAAGGAAATTTCTTATACATTTAATAATATTAATCTAAAGAAGGGTGTACTTTAGTTCTCCGTGATTAAAGAATTTAATAACAATGACAAATATATCAATGACTCAGGCTGACCAAAATATATCAATTAGGAGACAGAGGCAGAAAATCAACTTTAGGATTTATGGCAGTATAGAAGATAGTTGAATGATTGTCTCAGTTTGATCAGCTGTGAGAGGGATCTCGGAGTCCTAGTGGACAATCATTTAAATATGAGCCAGCAGTATGCTGCAGCTGCCAAAAAAAGCCAATACAGTGCTAGGCTGCATTAACAGAGGGATAGAATCAAGATCACGTGAAGTATTAATACCAGTTCACAATGCCTTGGTTAGGCCACACTTGGAATACTGCATCCAGTTTTGGTCATCACGATGTAAAAAAGATGTTGAGACTCTAGAAAGAGTACAGAGAAGAGCAACAAAGATTAGGGGACTGGAGGCTAAAACATATAAGGAACGGTTGCTGGAATTGGGTATGTCTAGTTTAACGAAGAGAAGGACGAGGGGGGACATGATAGCAGTGTTCCAATATCTCAGGGGCTTACACAAAGAAGAGGGAGTCAAGCTATTTTCCAAAGTGCCTGAAGGCAGGACAAGAAGCAACGGGTGGAAACTAACCAAAGAGAGAAGCAACCTAAAACTAAGGAGAAACTTCCTGACAGTTAGAACAATTAACCAGTGGAACAACCTGCCTCCAGAAATGGTGAATGCTCCAACACTGGAAGTTTTTAAGAAGAAACTGGACAGCCATTTGTCCGAAACGGTATAGGGTTTCCTGCCTGAACAGGGAGTTGGACTTGATGACCTCCAAGGTCCCTTCCAACTTTATTATTATTATTATTATTATTATTATTATTATTATTATTATTATTATTATTATTATTATTATTATTATTATTATTATTATTATTAACAGTTTTCAGCCCAAAGCCCCAATCAGTTGGGCAATGCCACCAGTGAAGATAATGTACCTATTTATTTAACCTGTTACAAACAAAATTAGAAAAAATTGCAATTTCTATAGCAGGGGTCCTCAATCTTGGCAACTTTAAGCTGGCTGAGGAATTCTGGGAGTTGAAGTCCACAAATCTTGCCAAAATTGGATCCCCCTGGGTTAAAGGTACATGAGCTAAAAATCAGAAGACACAAGTACTGTCCTAGGCACAAAGCTACTGTATAGGTGACTTTGGGCTAGTCTCCATCTCTCAAGTCCTCAGAAAAAGAAGCCAAGGGCAAACCATTTCTGATAATTGCTTGGACTTGTCCAGACAGGTGCCCAAAGTCAACACTGGCTTGAAGGCACCCAAACATAGCCACACATAAAATAAAAACCCTAATACCATTGGTCAATTATTTTTATTTGATAATTTCAGAATGCCATCTGAAATACACAATTAAACAGAATACTATGCAACAAAGAAGAATTACAATGAGATGCACCAAAATTGAATCCCTAACTCTCGCCCCATCCAAGTTATTTAAGACTATCAAAGGATTTATAACCCTGCTCAATTCAGATGGTAATCAGATATGTTTTTATTTGGATTTCTAAGGAAAATAAGCACACTGCCTGCACTGGCAGTGCAGGCTAATTATATGATATTCTTTAAAAAAAAAAAAAAGAGGTGGAATATCCATATTATGTCTAATGTTCAGCACAGAAATACTTCAGGAATGAGACTGAACAAAACGGGAGTGGGCACGTTTGTGTGATGACCCTATCTTTTAAGAAAGATTTTGCATCTGATTGGAAGAGCCATTCACTGCTTCTCCCAAATTCTGCTTTTGCTGGTGGCTATAGCTGATCATTATAGGAGGAAATTGTTGTCCAACATATATGAAGAGGAAATAGTTGAGCAAAGGTAGCCAAGGTCTCTTATAACCTTTAGGACTTGAGCTAATGGTAGAACTGCATAGATCTTCTCCAAAATGTCTGTATTCATCCTTTTCTTTTTCTTCAATCCTGCAGGAGACGGAGTCCCACAATGGACTTTTATCATTCTCCTTTCCATCACGGTCACAGGGTCTTTCCTGCTCCTATCGTGTCTTGGCTGCTTGGTAAGAATGGGAAAAGCTGCCATTCGCAGAGGGTGAAGGGAACAAAGAACTATGCTGATATGGGAATCATCAACTCCAGTTGAACCTTGGAGAACTTCCAAGTGATGCTCAAAAGGGGTTGAGTTTTGAGATGCAGTGGACAAAACACCAGGCAATCCTGGCTTACGATTGGCACATATCCCAAATCAGATTTGTCATGAATCATTCAAATAGCCTTGTGAATTTAATTAAGCTCAGGAATTTTATACATTCTGATCTACATTTTGCTCCATGGCAGAAAACACAGTTATTATGCAGGGCAAATATTAACTTCAGAAAAGGAAACATAAGATTTGGAGAATAGTGTAGAATGGGGTTTCTCAACCCAGCAACTTTAACTTATGTGGACTTCAACTCCCAGAATTCCCCAGCCAGCATGGATTCTGGGAGTTGAAGTTCACATGTTTTAAAAGTGTAGAGCAGGGGTCCCCAACCCCCGGTCTGTGGACTGTTACCGGTCCGTGGCATGCCAGTAACCGGTCCACATAAGCAAGCAAAGCCCCATCCATGGGATACAGGCATCACACAAAACCATGCACTCTCCGGTCCACAGAAAAACCTTTCTCCTTTGAACCGGTCCCTGGTGCCCAAAAGGTTGGGGACCTCTGGTGTACAGGGTAGGAGTATCCCCAACCTGAACTACAGTTCCCAACAGTTCCAGTCTCCACTTTTAAAAATATATTCCTTCAGCTTTAGCTGTTCAGAGATTTGTTTCAAATACCTGTGCAGAACCTTTAAGATTTCCAGGATTCACAGAAAAGATTCCAGTCTTTGTCACCAATCATATATTTTCCCCCCAACTTATTTCTGAATTTTCT